CAGTTTGTGATCTTGTTTTAACTACAGTTAATTGACTGCCAATTAATTCAAGGTCAGTAAGATTATTGTAAATGCTAAGCTAGAAGCTCCACAAAATATGTGCTTATTTCTGACATGTTCAGACTAGTGTTTACAATTGTATTCATTAATTTGAGCTAATTGGCAATTGGCGATCAATCAGCTAGAAAACCCAGGATCACCAGCTCTTGTCTAGGCAGAACAAAAGCCTCACAAAGTACATCCCCAATTTAAACTATCTATTTTTGTAATACGTTCATCACAGAAGGAGAACAGGATTGCTAAATGCTCCATTTCCAAATATGAATTTCTCTTTTGCCTATCTCCCTCTCTTTGTAAGAAGGCACAAGTCGACGTGGTCCTCGCTGCACCCCGACTCTCTCCCTTGGCTGCCTCCCAACTCCCAGCTGCATCGCTCACGGAGCAGCACCGCCTGGCTAAAGGTTTCCTCCTGTGTGAATTACTAAGCATGCCTGCAAACACAGTAGGCTTTAAATCAACAGCGGCAATCGATTTATGCACAGTGTTTCTCTGTAATAAGGGAAACACATGGGTGAATGAAAGAGAAACTGGATGTTTAGAAGCAAGGACACAAGATGTTTAAAAGCTGGCCTTGCAGGAAATCTTCCCTAACATACATTCCTGGCTAGAAAGGGATTAGTAATAATCAGTCTCTGAAACCATGGCAATTCGCATCTGCTGAGGTTCAGGCCACCAGCCTGAGCAGGCAGGCACCACAGAAATACCCAGCAGTGAACCTTTAACCCAAGGGTGCCCACCTGACAGATCATACTGGGGATCGTCTTTACACAGACAAGTAAATATTTTAATGCTTTGTTCCATTCTCCTTCAGGCTAAACCAGCGGTCTGCTAACTACTTTCAGCACTAACATAACGCTTGTTAAGACTTCTGCACCTTGTTTTGTGTAATGGCTTTCCCAGCGTCACGGAGTTTATATTTAGGGAGACAGGGCAGCTCTCATCTGCTGAAAGCAGCCCATTTACAGCCTTTGATGCCGGGAGATTTTACTGCAGTTGGCCCTGGCCCTCCTCCTGCGTCAGCCTGTTTAACCTTGATGTACATCAGGAATTCTTCCTTATCAGGCCATAAAAGACTTTTGGTGCCAATCTCAGCAAGACCCAAAGTGTTTACATTATACGTTATCTTAGACACAGTAATGCCTAAAAATTAGGTGATTGAGCCCAGAAGAGAAATCCCTTGGTTCCTCAGGGAATTTTAGACTTGCCCAATTTTAGACTATCCACCTCTTGAGTTTTGCGACTCCTACTACTATTACTGTTGCCTCCAGGCACCTGAATTTCCAACATGGCCTTATCCTGTTTTACGGTGAGGGGGAGGACTGACCGGTTATCTGACTGAGTCTGAGCATTGCATCTTCTTTATTCTTTTCCTCCTGTGCTCCCAAATCCTGGACCTGTTCCACAGCCCTGAGATCAGTATCTTTCACGGCCCTGGTGTTTTGGATGGAAGCTTGATCCCAGACACTTGTGGTTGCTGCCTACAGATAGTCACTCCGGTCCTCCTCTCCTCCAGTGGGAAACACCCCCAAGAGCCAGAGGGTGCTACTGCCTCCCCGCTCTGGGAGAGGCATTCTCCATTCTCCAAAGGCACTCCATTCTCCTCCTTCCTCCATTAAAAACTTGGGATAACCCAGGAGAGCAATGGAGCTCCTCGGGGCACGGGTGACCTCCAGTCTCAGGTGGGAGGTGACAGACAGCAGTCCCAGGTTGATGCCTTTCTGTAGGAGGACTTGTGGCCATGCCTGCCATCCCACAATGAGACTGGTGCTTGGGGTAGCAGCAGCAATCTGCAGTTGGCCCCAAAGGCACAAAACCGGGCTGAGCACACAGCATAGCCACAGCTGGACTCAGAGGCAACAGAAAAAGGTGTGCTGCTACGCTCGGTCTGGTAACATGCTGAATTTGTTTGTCTCTGACCATATCCCTTAACATGTCACATTTACGGCACGATTTGCCTTCTCTGTGCTTTGAAATCAGCCAGCACCTCCAAAGTAAAAGGTCAGTCGGCAAGAGCCAGTGCCTGATTTAGCAGAGCTGCAATAGCCATCCTTCTGCTGCTGGGAAAACTGTCCCCTGTGCCGGGCGCCGTGTCAGCCCGCCTCCCGCACCGCTGGAGCGGACCCTGCTGCCAAGGCACCGTCCCGGCACGAACAAAGCACAAAGCAAACGTCCTCTTCTTAGCTTCTCTGGCAGACTGTCTTGCGTACTGTCGCAGGGTTTTGTTTATCTTTTTTTAAACAGAGCGCTTCCCCTTCCTTCTCACAGGAATTGCTTCCTCCTTCCCTTCTCGCAGCTTGAACTTCTAGAGGGTTTACAAACTGGTCTATATTTAGCTCTTGTCTCCCCACGTATCCAGCAGAAGGACACATGGCACCTGCTCTGCAGCCAGGAGTTATTTTAAGCACTTCTAAAATGGGTAATGGTATTTAGCACTTTATGCCCAAAATTCACATACACACACACACACACAATTGTCTAAAACAAAGTGTTCCATATACTTACACCAGCCAGCATATGCCGATGAAATCTGAATTTTAACCTTGACATAACACCAGATTGAACTACAGTAACACCTCAGAGCAGCACATATTAAACTCTGGAATGGCCCACACTACTGTAACTCCAGTTACCCTCCAGAAAAATACAAGTGCCTTGCTATAGCCTAGACACTGTTCTATGTATTACTTCAGAAAGCGGTGATAAAATCAGCTTTATCAACTACGTGCTACATTTGAATAGTTTTATGATTTACGCACAATTTTCTTGTACAAAATTGAACAAAAATTCAGAGACTTCATGGCAGGTATTCATCAGGCATGGAAAAAACCGGACTCAGAGACTTTCTGAAGTCCCCTGCCTCACCTCTCATGTGGCACCTGAGTCTTGATCACTTATTGTTGTAGCAAACCAGCCATGGCCCCTAGTTTCACTTAAAGGCAAGCTCTACCAAAGTCAGCTTTAATTTTTTTGATCACTCCTTAGAGAAGCTTTTCTTACTTTCACCAACCTGCCTGTTTTCCTTACACGTCACACGGTGCCCAGGCTTTTAAGGCTACTCCTAGAAAACATGGGCTGACAGTCCCAAAGGGAAATACTTAGATTAAAGCCCTTGCGCCATGCCACCAAGCAGTGACAGCAAGGAAGCTGTTCATCAGACTTACCGGAGCAAAGAGAAGAGCTGAGCAGAGAAAAAAAGTCAGGCAGAAAGCTCAGACAAGGGCACGCCAGCAACAGGACACTGGTACTGTAATCCTGCCACCAAGGGAAGAGGGACGGGAAGACCAAGCGAGGGGGAAGGACAGAATGACACAGCAGGAGCAAACACTGCGGAGACTGAATGCGCGCTTTGCAGGGGACCGGCTCTGATAGGCGAGCAGGGAGGCTGCCTGCTAGCTGGCAGCATAAGCCAGCTATGTTGGCTACTCCCTGCTCCGACAGAGATAGCACGAGAGATTAGAGACTCGGGCCCTCGGAAAGAGAAAATAAAGGAAGGATTCATACACAGCTGCTACCCTTCAAAATTAAGTCTTAATCCTTCATGTTGCGCTGTGTGAAATTTGTCTGTATTGACTATGGATTGGTCAAACTTGGTCTAACTTTTCTGTCTGTACCAGAAAGACTGGGATGGCTTTCCATAATGTGAATTCCCATCTGTGACTGCCGTTTGCAACCTGGGATTTGGGCAGGATTTGTTAAAAACCAGGCTGATCCTTAATCATAGACTCACTGGCTGGAAGGGACCACAGGAGGTCTTTAGTTCAACTTTTTGCTCAAAGCAAGCTCAGCTGTGATCTCAGACCAGGTCTCTCAGGGCTTTGTATTAGTCTTAAAATAATTCTCTCCAAGGATGGAGACTGCATGACCTCCCTGGGAAGCCTGTTCTCCTGCCTGACTGTCCTCGTGGTGAAAGGGTTTCTCCTTACACCTAGCCTGAACTTCCCTTGTTTCAGCTTGTGCCCATTGCCTCTTGCCCTCCCACCTTACACCCCTATGAAGAGCCTGTCTCTGTCTTCTTGATAATCTCCTCGTAGGTACTGTGGGGCTGCAGTTAGGGGCCCCCAAAGCTGTCTCTTCTCCAGGCTGAACATCCCACTTCCCCCAACCTCTCCTCATGGGGCAAGTGCTCCAGCCCCAGCCCCTCCAGTGAATGACCAGCTTCTCCCATGGGGGCAGCAATGCTAATGGAGATGGCTGGTGTAGCTGTTCCCCTGATCCCAGTAGCTCCCAAACAAATGTTCTTGTTGCTGCCAAGGTAACCTGCCTGACCCACTTTCTGCATGTCACTGTGCCGGCTCACAGTGGCCCAAAGTTGTTTACACAAACAAGCAGAGCACTCCCCAGGGAGCTCAGCTGCATGCTGTTTATCCAGCGACCAGCGACTCTCACTGCAGTGACCCACAAGCCACTCAGGCAGCATCTTGAGATGCCAGATGGCCTAAGGACCATCTGCTGCCCACTCCCTAGAGAGACATGTAGGTCAGTTTAATGCACAAATATGCAAACAACTGAGATGCGCTAAGCTGGTACTGGCAGTGGCAGCCAGTGCTATGAGAAGAGAAATGGTACTTTGGCTCCAGTGAAAAATAATGCGGCTCAGAATAACAATAGGAGGAAAAACACATGTATACTACAATGATTTGGAGTAAGCCTTCAAACTGAACTGTTGTTGCATGGCACTAGAAGATCCAGAGATGTTTGGTACCTGATTTATGAGGGATGTAAGAGAAAACAGTACTGGGCAGCTCAGTATCAAGAAGTACTGGCTCAGAAATTGTCCATATGTTAGCAGCATCCCAGACTTCCACTGGAGAGGACTAAAGGTCTTGCTATATTTGTGGACATAGTGTCTGTGGGGTGGAAAGAACATACTTGGGGTGGTTTCTCATTAATCTCATTTATCTACTTGGAAAAGGTAGCTCATATTATCTGGGGATGCGTGAGCATAATGCCTTAAGGAAAAATCAGTTCTTCAAATCTTCTTCAGCTACTGGTGGTGGCTCGGTAGTGCTCCTAAGGAAGGCACAGACTGAAGGATGATGAAAGGGAGCTTGCAAGGTCGGGGGCTTCTGCTGTGAATCTTTTGGAGGGGGTTGGAAACTGGCTGGACGTGTTTTGAGAGAAGATAAAGCTCTGGGATTGTTTGTGACAGGGCAGCGTCAGTGAGCAGAATACCAGTGAAGATAAGAGTGTGCAGGCTCCTTGGGCTCCTCCTGTTTTGACTGGAGAATTCTTCTGTTCCAGTCCCCTGTTCATTTTTCTTTTGAAATAAAATCAGCTCCACAGCTTCCGAGATCAAAATGCACAACTGAGCTACCAACAGCTGAGTTGCAGAAAGTTACCCTGGCATATCCTCACTCCTTGGCAAACACAAGGCAAGACACGTTCAGCTTCGCCCTCTTTCACTGGGGTTAAAGCTATTACGTGTTAGCTCATTTTTGCAACAGCCTGACAGCATGCACGCAGACCCTTATCGCAGCTCAAATGACATGTGAGGATTCACTGGGTAGTGGGAAATTGCTCATGACCTTGAGACATCAGAGCATACTGATAACAAGAAATTACTTGGGGTCATAATTGTAAAAATTAGCTACAAGAAATCCAAAGCTACATGTTCTCAACTGTTCCTAAATATGCAAGTAAAGAAAACGGCCTCTGGTACAGTCAGGGGCCGATGAAAGGGGCAGATGAAATCAGTGTTCCTGAGTATGTGGGGAGTATGCGTGTGCAGCTCCGGAAGATTAAAAGGGGTCTGCTGGATTTTGACCTGTGAATTGAAACAACTACCTTAAGAAGGGAAAAGGAAACTCAGACTGAGAAATTTAGAGGAGTGTGTTGAAACTGTCATGCAGGCCATTTACATGCTGAGGACGACTGACCAACTGGCGTTCTGACTCTGCACGCTGGGATGGTTGCATCTGGCGAGCTGAGGAGAGAGCTGGCTGAAAAGCCTCTCTGTGAAACCTGCCCTGCTTCTGACGTTTCTGCTTTTGCAATGCTTTGGGCATTTCATGTCGCTGTTTAGAGGAAGAGAAAGAAAAGCTTTCTCTAATCCACGAGAAAGAGGAGAAATGTATCTTCCCCATGTTAAAGCTAGACCACTCCTTGAGAATTTGCGGTAACAAGGCTGAATTTCTTTTTCAGTTGTGTGAAATTAACTTCAGTTAATTATATTGGAAATAAAATTGATCCATTCTGTTTAAATATGTACTATAATACACTTATGCCATTACATAATTAATATACTTATAACATGATAACATATAGTAACAAGCAAGTATGTAAGATATATAATGAAAGTATAGCATGTATGAAGGATTTAGAAATACTTATAACGTACAACGTATAATTAGAATTTAGAACTAGCCCTCATAAAGGTCTTGAGACACAGAAGCACAGTGATGTGTGAGCGGTGGTCTAGAAGTCAGAAGCTTGCTGAGTCTGGCAGTGTTTCCCTGCTGTGGGCAGCTACAACTGAACCAGAGCTGGGAGAGTCCTTTGAGGTCCCAGTGCAAAGTCTGTCAAGACCAATCTCCATTGGGTTTAATTTACTTCTTTAGCAATGTCGTAAACATCTGGGCCAATCAGACATTTTGCACGGTGACCTCTTGGGAATCATTTCTCTCTTGCTTAGTCCTGTATCAATGAAAAAAAAAAAAAAGGGAAAAAATAACATATTTGCATTTATTTGCATACACAAAGCAGGTGCTCCACACTGCATCAATTTTCTACAGATTTCCTAGTTCCAAATCAATCTCGAAAGGGTTGGGAGGTTATGATTTGCCTTCTAATAAGATTTTATGGCCTGAAGGGTTTGTCATATACCTAAGGTTTGCCAGGTTTTTTCTTCTACAGCTCAAAGATCCTGACTACCAATGGCAGTTAATAACACAGCCAAATTAGCTGACACAGAAAATCCCAATAGGCAACAGACTTAACTATTTTAAGCAAATAATTTAATTCTTAATCTACATCAGTAAGAATATAATTTCTGAAATTTAGCAAGGAAACCGCTCTAAGAATCTGAAGGAATTCCCCATGGATTGCTACTGAACAGTTTCTGATTTATTCTTGGAAAGATTCAAGTCTTTTGAAACCTTAAGAGCAAGCAAAATCAATTATCAGGGCTTCCATTTTCTCCAGGCAATTTCCACCGCTTCAGCTTGCCCAGGAGATAGACTCTCCATAAATACATTATGCTATGTGCTATTTGAAGAATTTGGCAAACTGGAGAATAGCTTCACTTGAAAAATCACACATAAGGTAAAGGAATCCCTCAGGTGAGGCATGCAGTCACACCTGAATGCATCTCTGCAGTTTGGAAACAACTCTCCTCCAATATATACAGGTAATTTATTGGGAAGGAAAAGAACAGCATTAGCTATTTCCAGTTATTCTGGTACTGCAGCGAAGTTACTGCTGATTTACACCATTACAAGCTAACATGAAACTTCAAAAAGGTATGGAATCCTGAAACTGTCTAATTTTAATCTAATTTAATTTTAAAATGATACCCCTCTAGCTAGAAATGACCTTCTATCAACAGACTGTGGGAACAGAGTTGAGCCAAGTCAACTGTCAACCCCAGACATTTTGTGAACCTGCCAGGGGAAATCTCTGGGCCCAATTCAGATGTAATCATGCTGTAAATCACATATCAGGCGTAATTTGGAAGCCTTTTAAATGCCAACGGTACACCGGTCAAGGGTGAGTTGTAGAGAAGAAACTATCTATTCCAGTAAGATAATGTAAACTGACTTGCTTTGTGTGAGGTAGCTTTTTGTCTTTCCCACCCTTTTCTAGCCCCTTCCATTTGCTAGTAATGTTCACTTGCATCAGTTTCATTATCAATCTGCAACATTTTTTTTTTAGATTGCTGCTAGAGCTGGCTTGTAAAAATTAGAAATGGAAAAGACTTATTAAAGGCTCAGTCCTGCAGCTGCTCCGGGTGTGGAACTGCCATTGATTTCCCAAGCAGCACCTGCTGGTGAGCAGCACAGAGAATAAAGCAAATTAGAAATTGAAGGCGAGCTCTCTCAGCTGTATGGGCTGTACATGGGCGGTAAAGCATCTCGTAATTGGAGACAACCATCTTTCTCTGGAAAGGACAAGGTCCAAATTCTGCTGACAGTCATAAGTAAGCTGAGGGGGGCGAGGGGCTGAGCAACACTGAGGTTGTGACTAACCTGCCTAAGAGTACGGGAGGGAAGAATAGGGTCTGACACAATGGGAATGACATAGATTGAGATAACGCTTAAACAATGTTTGGAAATGAGGGGCACGTTTGTGGTGAAAGATAAAGACATGTAGAAAGAAGAGGGAAAATAACAGAGGCAGT